CTCTCTCTCTCTCTCTCTGCAACGGTGTTATTATTATTTATAATCCAATAAATATTATTTAACAATCACAGACATTACTTTATATAATTTATAATATATCATATTCATTAAACAATGTTTCCTTTTTCCAGTTGCATAAATTATTTGACATGTCCGTATTAATATAATAAATTGTATTAAGCCATTTAAAAACATAGCTTCTGTTTTATAAAATTTAATGAATAAATACTCAATTAGCGGGATGCTCATAAGAAACGACATATGTTTTATTGACAATAACGAGCAGTAATAAATTTTATAAATACAACGAAATGTTGAAATAAGACAAAATAAAACTAAAAAAATGAAATAAAAAATGTATAATGTTTGAAAAAAATCGCACAAAATTCTTAATAAAATTCTTAAGTAAATTTTTAACTAAATTCTTAATTTGAATAATTATACTTTATTATTGATTAAAATAATACGTCCAGATCTCTCAGTTCTATCTCTGGCAATTTATCGATCGATGTGCTGATTGAATTGAGTGGCTGAATGCCACTCAGTTACTTCAAATAAATCTAGATCAGTTGAATAATGAATGATTGTCATTTGCACAGTTTCTATAATTGCCTTATAATGCACGTCACAAATTAAATATCTTTGTCAAGAATTTCATACTTGCCAATAATATTGAGAAACGATATATATCGCTGACGGGTCACTTGTGCCATTTATCGCAGGATACAATATATTATATATAGCTGCAATTCTATTTTTTACTCTTCGTTCGATACGCGCGACATTCAATGTATCATTGAACGCTTGCATGTATAAATGTGCATAGCACATATGGACATATATATTCCAAACTATATGCTATATATGTGCTTTAGCAAGAGATATATCTATCCGAATACGGGTAATGAATAAGTACCGGTAATGAATAAGTAACACTCTCTCTCGAATTAAGTTTGCCAGACATTCGTTTGACATAAATCCGTATTTTTTTCCATGTAAAGAAAGTCTTTCCTCTAAGTCTTTCCTATAACCCGACATGAGATTTTTAATGGAAATAAAGTGGAACGAAACGAATGATTCAGCAAGTTCATCGATTTTAACTTGTCGGAATTATAACTAAGTCGACTGACATACTGATGCAATGCAAATGCCTAATGCCACTTTTAAAATTAATGACATTATCAACACATTAGAAGATTTATGGATCTATTCACGCGTAAATATGTTTCAATAAATATTCCAATAATGCGACATATCAATTTATAGTGAATAGAAAATCATATTTTGAAATTAATTTTATTCATGCAGGAGTTATGACAAATTTATCCTTTTATCAGATAACAATAAAAGTAGTATTATTATTATTAGTAATTATTATTAGAAAAATATTTGAGTACTCTCAAGAGTTAATTGACATACTAACAATCACGACATTTTTACGTATGTACAATTGAATAAACGTGAATTTCACGCAAAATCTATAAACACAAATTAAAATAAAGCAAAAGTATTTTGTACGTGTGTCATTCTTCATTTCGTAAAATGTCAATGAAGAATAAATCTTTATAATTTTGTGATATTTTTGCAATTAAGAGCTTTTCATTCCATAGAATTCCAATTTTGGCGTTTTATGGTCACAAAACTAATGCTGAAGGATTAACAGCATAATGTAGTCAGCGTTATATTCTGCTATGCTAAAGTAAAGAGCAAACTCAGATGGTGGAACGTCTCTGAATACCAACTAAATAAACAATACATTGTTAAACCATCTTATCTAAATGTTGCTGTATCTTTAACAAAACTCTAATTGCTAATTGGAAAAGTAATCTGGAAAAATAGTCGGAAAAATGTTATGCTCGTACTATTTGCTTCGAGTAAAGTTATTTCAATACTTCTTGATTTTTTCTCCTTGGATCAGATAAAACTTCAAGTAGACTTCGAAATTAAGCTCACAATTTCATTTGAAATGCTAAATGTATATATTATATTTCCTTCCAACGATAAACAGAAATAAAATAGAAAAGTGTTTATTCATTTTCTGACAAGAATCATTATTGAGAGTTGTTTGAGAAAAACATATTTTCGATAATAATTCCTGCAACATTAAGATACTGATAAACAATTTTTCATTTCATTTTTATTTATTATAACGAGAAATTAAAGAAACTTCGCACAGTTTATCCGATTTCTTCCGTTGATCGTTTCTCGTTTTATTTTCTTCATTCTATATTCATTGAAACTTGCAACAAGCTTAAATCAATGTTGGACGATCGCCAAGAGAATCGTCAGGTGGCCAGTCGTCGACTTTATCGTCGTCGAAAAAGATGCTCGAGCGCAACAAGGACGGAAGGATTGCTGGAACAAGAGGATCGCTGGAACAGAAGCTCCGGGTGTCCCGGTCGGTTGACGGTGCGCCCGGATTCGCGTTTGCTAGCAAGCGTGCGTTTAGCACAGCAAGGCGCGCAGGTGCGCCGCGACGCTGGCGTCGGCGTCGTCGATGTTTCCTCCTCCCTCCCTCCCCCCTTTGAATATACGCGTAGCTCGAGATACGCGCTACGCCACAGAGCGCGGTAGAAACCCAGAGGATCGCGAGGTCCCATCGTAGAGAGTCGGTTCTCCGCCGGGTCCGCTGCTCGTCGCTCGACTGATTTTGACATGAGCCTCGGTTCCCGCGCGTTCGTCAGCTAGGAAGGGGAACCTTTTCCGGAAACCAGGTCAGTCAGAGACGTATCAGGACGCGTCACCGACAACGTCGCGCGCGAGACCTGTAATCGTCGGCAAGATCAGTGTACGAATCGTGTTACGAAGTCACACTTGTAATTTGCGTATGGATCATGTTCGAGTGAGATCGACTGTTCAGTTTGCGAGGGATTAATCTGATATCCGAAAAACCGAGAGCGGCTCCGAGAAGAGAGGAGTTAAAGGGACTTACCAATGGACAAGTGAGCACCTTCGGTTTTTACATTTCTCGCGGTGAATGTCACGGAGAAAAGTGAAGTGAAAGACGCGGGTGATAGATTCGGCGACGTTTCACGCATTCTCGCCGCAAGTTTGGATCCTCGTACAGCTTACTCGAGGAATCTTCTCCGTGGAAGATTCACCTTTTACGAACGCCTGCCGTTCGAAGGTGCCCGCTTGTTCACGGGAGAGACGACGCGTGTAAGTTGGACACCTGTTAAACTAGCGTATAAACTGCAGTCTCGGTCGAACGCGTCAGTTGTTGGTGACGACGTACTAGTTCCATATTGTAGAAAGTTGAAACTCTGTGATCTTGCTTAAACTTGGTTAACGTGACGCGAAATTGCTAGTTAGGTGTTAGGTGTTAAATTAATTGTCCCTTCTTGCAAATGTGATCTTCATCCGAGTGCGATTTTTTTTTTAAATTGGACATTCGAGTAATCGAAGCAGCTCGCTAAATACATGATAGATATCGAGGGATCAATTTTTTATTTCTCAATTTATCGACCAAGTCACGGTACATAAAACTATACTCGTTCGTGTGGTAGATTTACTTCCCTTGACGTCGCAAGGGAAATAAGTTTACCTCTGTCGCGGCGACCGATGTAAAGTTTAGATGTCTAGTTATAATTACTAAAATCACGGTTCACGACACAAAATGGTGCCCGTGCGTTACAGTTTCATGGATTTAACAACGACAATTTGTGACAACAACGAGGAAAGTTTGACTGCGGCTCGCAACGAGTTTTGTGTTATAGTCATCAAACGAAATATGAGTTAGTTATTATCGTGATACTCGATTCAGTGATATAACTCATCTTGAGATGTGATATAAATAAAACACTTTTTTAAAAGATAAAATAAGGCTGGATATATCTTATAAAGTTTGCAAAGAAATAGTTAGATAGTTAAAAATATCCAAAGTTAAAACAACTTTTGAAGTTTATTACAAAGTTTATTAAGTTAATTGATGTGAATTGAACTTTGTGAAATTGACATGAAAGCAAATATTTATTAATAGAAATGCTAATAAAAATGCAATTTTGTCGTGTACAAATAAGAAAATTATTTTTCGTATAAAAATTAAATAAAAAATAAATGAAAGGTTAAATAAAAAAAAATAAATAGAAATGTATACACACAGTTTAAAATATACAATATCAGATATAAAATAAAAGTTACTTTATGATTAATTACAGTTTTTCGCAGAATTCTCAGATAAAAGTACAGCAACAACTCATTAATCAAAGTTAATCGGTTCTTTGTCCTTATAAAAAAATTATTTTCAAATTATATTTAAAAATAATATTAAAACTTTTCTCTTCTCAATTTATAATAATAGTCTTCAGAGATTATTATTTTCGATGGTTTTCCTCTTCCTTGCCATGTCTCTTGTGAATTTTTCAAACCACTGTTGCGCCATGTCTATATCGATCGTGCCTTTTCTCTTACCCTTTTTGTATATTTTACAGTAGTAGAATATGCAAGATAATAAAAAACTTTGTCATAGATTCTACGTCGTAATCTTCCTTTTTAAAATTTAATATTTCTTCGAACAATTTCTGTGAAAAAAATATTTCCTACAATATTGCGGTTATAATTATTTCTTCATCACATTTGGGAAAACATATTTGTTCCGATATAAACTTTGGAAAGAAAACTCGCAATTGTAATGTAGCAAGATACATTTCTCTTTGTTATCCAATAGTCTGAATGCGCTTTGAGGATGCTTGGATAGTCAATATGCGGTATCCCGGAGTCGAACGTTTGTCCATCAATTACCGTGGCAGGAGCTTCCTTTTAGGTCTTTCGACCTTATCTCGGGCGATTGCACGAGAATAAGCACAATATCGATCGCGGCGTGAAATTCATGCGAGCGTACGGCAGCGTACATCGAGGAAGCAATTTCTATCGCATTGCGCGTAACAAGTGGCTCCGTTTTGTTCGGGTTGTAGGACTTCCGTCCGGTCCCATTGTCCCGAATTCTCACCGTTTCGTGGCAGACAACGCGCCGATGATGACGGTGAGGCGTTAACTCGTCCATTATACAAAGACCGAGTCTCATTTGGCGACAATGAAAATGATTTTGCGTTGAACATTATCGTTCTCGTTGCACTATATGCCGGATAAAGGCATATCATTCATCAAGCTATCCGAATGACGTAAGTGTACGAGGTCGGGCAATGAAATTCCGAGGTTGGTTACGTATTGTAAAGTTATTCTAACTTGTACGTCTAATTCGAGACGTGAACTCGAAAGTAGAGTTACGATCGAAGTCTTACTTTCTTCTTATCTTTCCTCTAGAATCCGAACGAGGATATAGAAAAAGCCAGACTCTCCGAATCTAAGTTAATAATTCGCTAAACGTATTTCGTTGATTACATATGTGTTTTAAGTTGAGAAATTTCGCGTGGGAAATCTAAGGGAAATCTAAATAAAAGGAATCTTCATACGTTAAAGTTAATTAATTCCTTACAAATGGTGATTGCTTGCTTTCCGATATCACCATAGCTCAAGCTCGTTGCATATGACGAAATGGTACACGTTCACGAACATACGAAATTACGGGGCCGTAAATTTGGCAACGCTCCCCGCGGGCACCTTATTTGCTCGCCCACATTTGTATGCCACACATAGATGGTCGACGTCCGAAATTTCGGGGCAATACGCCGTAGAGTAAGAGCAGGGTGTGTCCAATTCGAGTGCGCGTGTTGGCGCAAGGGTTGTTTACGTAATCCCTTGGGAATGATAGAACACGGCTCTGCTGTTACCTGTTCCCAACTCCCTCCCCTCTCCCCTTTTATCAGAGTAATTTCCTCTGCGCGCCTTCCTGCGCATTTCCTTAATAGTACGCGTTTGTTCCATTACCATACGCTGCGCCCAGGAATTCTTCCTTCAATTAATTCAAGAGGCTGTTCACGAATCGCGGTAAAATCGCATCGCGCGTTACCGAGGGCAAAGATTAATGCGCTTTTCAATATATATATATATATATATATATAGTACTCGGAGCACCATTAATTTGTAAGCGCTTACAGAAAATCAATAAATATAATCAATGTGATAAACTAAGGTAAATATGAAGAATAGAATAATAGAATGGCATTATTCGATAAATAGAATCTTAAGTGTCTAATAATTTTTCTTTCTAATTTCATAGATAATTATTATAGACACTTATGACCTCTCCTCTTTACCGAGTAATCGATTTGTATATCTGAATTAAAAAACAAGAATTATTAGACATTTTTCTGTCTGAGTAATATTATCCTATTCTTTGATACTTATCTCAACTTATTACATTGATTGTTTGTTCTTTACGTCAGTTGAAAAATGACATTCTTATCCGACATTTATCTGATTAATGTGATAAATATTACACACCTCAGTGATTGAATAGTTAAAGTATTCAGTTTGGAAAATAAATAATCCAGGTTTGATTCTTGGTTGAGATGATATTTTTCGCAATAAGAATTTCTTATGAAAAGAAAGAGATAATCAATTTCAAATTTGATCATTAATTAAAAGGAAATAATTTGGTTATAACTTTAAGCTACTGTGTTGCAAGTCTATTAAAAATGATTTGCAACGTGAGTAATTGTCTTGAATTTATAGATATAGATTTAAAAAAAAAATTATTAAACACTCAAGATCTTGTTGACCGAATAATGTCATCTAGTATCCTATTCAATATATATTATATAATAAGAAAAATAATTCACAAGCAAAATTTTAATTAAAAATTCGATCAAATATAGACATTAATTTGCAATAAAAAAATATATACAAAAGTTGAGATATTAAATTGATTAAAATATAAACTCCGTTTTTCTTAAAAAACAATTTGTAAAATCTTTCACTTTGAATAATGAAAGATGCGATCATGGCAACGTAAAAGAAATGCAAATCATGCCACTGAAACGCCATTGCACGGATGATAATCATAAAATATAATGCTAAAAGGTTGAAAAGATGATGCGAATCAGCAATTTTAATACGCTAACTCATACCGCTCATTTAATTTTCACTTTTCGAAAATTGTTATTTACCCTCTCTCTTTTATCATTTCTATTCAAATATTCCACATCCTCGATTTTCTCTTTATATCTCGATACCTCGTATTTTACCAGTTTTATTCAAATATCAAGCATTCGTGTTTCCCACAATGTTCAGGGACAAGTCCAGGGGTATAAGTCCAATGGTATCGCTACTGCCGCGAAATGTCAGCGAAACAGCCGGGGTTACGACAGCCAAGTCGATTCATCCCCTCGTTACGTCGCTGCGTGCAAATACAGTTTGTAATCGCGACCTTAGATTTTGCCCACCGTAAAGATATGCCTGCCTATGTATGTACGCGAGCGCACAGCGCGAGGCAATATCGCGTGTTATCAGCCGGCGTTATCGCCACTCGTACCACGTCATAATGCGCGAATCGACCAACCATGCAATTCGCTCCCGTCTTTCGCATGGAGAATGACTCGCCACCGACTTGCCTTGAAATGCGCATCGTTCTCTATCCGGACACCGACAAATTTGCCGGAAGATATGACATGCGCTGATACGCAGTTTATCCCCGGTCGCTCGTAAATTGCACACCGGGAATGCAAAACGATGCGGCGCCGCGAACATTATTCATACTTTTATACTTTCGTTCCCCAGTACGCTTTTTTCTGATACGCAAATGACCTTTATCGCGTTTCCTTGTAGTATTATTACGATAAGTAAGGGCAAATGTCTAAATGGAGTATACGCGTAC